AGAGAGCTGTGGCAGCATGGGCTGTATTTACAGCACTGATCTCTGGCAGGACTTCTGTTGGAGGAAACTGCCTTTCTTTTCTACAGATTAACTTCAATTACTATTTCTTCACGTTCATTGGTAGCTGTTACTATCTCACGAAACCGAGACGCAGCTATTCCATGTGCACAGGTTCCTTTTGCAGCAGGTAGCGCCAGCCAGGCCGCGTTTCCCAAAGCCGCGTCTGGCCCTGCACACACAGGCAGGCAGCAGGACAGGGCACAGAGCCCCTCCTGCTCAGCAAGGAGCCGGCGGAGGGGATCTGTTCTGCTGGGTGAGTCAGGGCAGAAAGCAGCTGGCGCCGCTGCACTGCCTGGCGCTGCAGCATCAGGCAGAACCTTTGCCCACAGTCACCGTGCGATCCGCCTGATCGGTTTCTTTCTGATTATCTGGGTGGAACTGGTGGAACGGTTTCGCTTACAATAAAACGACTCTACCCGTGGAATTACCCTAATTGACTACTTCATTTAGCTCCATGTGTGGGCATCTTGATTTAGAATAAGAGTAGTTTATACCACAGGATAAAGATAAACAGAAATTAGGCAGCCTTGTTTTAGATATCTGTTCACACTCAGAATTACTGGGAGTAACTCAAGGTGTAGACAAGTTAACTATTGCTAATTTAAATTCTCTTGGAATGCCAGTTTATTTTTTGTGAAGAATTTGAAAGTTCTTTTCTGTTCTTTTCTTTCTTAAATATGAACCTTCTGTGGGAAAACAAGTGCAATGTTACTGACAATCCCATAATTAGGACACCAACATGTCCACTGTTGGCACATTTTTGGGGGAGAGCAGGAGAGCAGCATGCATTATTACAGCAATCTGTTGCACTGCCTTCTGATCAGCACTCCGACTTCCTGTTATTGGAAAGAGGAAGGATGAAAGTGGAGAAGTAGAGATAGGATGAAAGAGATCTTCAATCACCCATTGCCAGGATGTGGTCACACGCTCAGAAGCAGTCAGCAGCTTCCACTTCTATTCCTAAAACAAATTCATACCCACCGCACAAATCTTTCTTGCTGACTTCCGGTTAAAGTTTGGCAGCAGGTTTTAAGGGCCGAGCATCTCTGCTGCACAGTGCTGAGTGCAGGACCACCATTCAAGGGGAGCAATCCAGTTTGGATAAGGAGAATTGAAGACATTGTTCCAGAGCAAAAGAGGCGCACTGAATGTCAGTATTAATAGTACTAGAAATTACTGTGACAGGCATAACAGAATACCAACCAAAGCCACTCACAGCTAACAGAGGGGTGAGGGGAGGTATTACTGAGCACCCAGAATCTTAAAAATTGTACCATTTTCCAAATCATTATTAAAAATGGCAAATACTTTAAAGTGTGAACACTTACATATCTGTGCTCAGAAGGTCATCTTCTCCTTCCTGCGCTCCCTAAGCAATGTGCAGTCAAACAGCCGGTGAATCCGCAATGAAGACTTCGGTATGCCACTGAATTGAAAACTAGTTCAGGCCCACAGATCATTCACATTCATATATTCAAAATGAATAAACATTGAACATTTTCTCCAGATTTGTCCAATGCCAGAAAACACTTAGTGTAATTCTGTACTTTGAACTTTTGGAGATTATTTCATCTTCTTAGCTTCCCTCAATCAGTATTCTCCCTTTACTTACAGTACACTGCTAATACTCGTGTTACATATTGGCTGTATGGGAGTGGGAGAATAGCAGCTCTTCCCAAATGATTCCAAATCCTCTCAGTTCGACTGTTCTATATTGGATTATGAGCCTTTTAAGTCACAACCTAAGTGAAAAGAAACAGATCTCTGATATATCCAGGGAACGGTTCGGCTGTCGGGCGGTGAAATGACTCTGCACAGTGCTCCTCAACCAGGACTGCTGTGGGGTTTTACCAACAGCAGAGCTGAATTAAGGCATCCTCAGCCCCAGCGGTACCGATTCCCTCTTCAGTTCTTTGCATTCGGCCCCAGTGGCCCATAAGCATTTAACAAAACCCACATCAGAAGGGTTTATTCCTGCCACAGATCAGTTGGTGGTTGTTGCAGGGCCTGTTTACACCATGGATCTAAAAACTATTACTGTGTAACTGAGGGCAAAAAAGGGCATGAAGTCATTTTGTCACATTGCCATGGAGGAAAGGAGGAAAAGTATGTACTGAGCTGCCTCTTCCCTGGAAAATCATTGCCTAAAAACGTGTTACGAAATTGTCACTAAAATCACTACTACCTCATTAAGCTTGAATATCAAAATGTGTTCAGTATTGTTTGTAGTTTACAGTTCAGTTCCACCCCCCAGTCAGTGGCAGAGCACTGTGATCTCAGATGAACTCATTCAGTCAGAAGCGTTTCCTGTGTATTAATAAAAATGTTTTAAATGAGCAGCCGCTGTCAGAAGCCAAAGAAAGCCTAAACGAAGGCTCTCATCTCTTGCCGCTTGAGCTTTAAGGAGTTTCAGATACAACCACATTTACACACACCGAATTCTGAGCGCATTTTCAGAGGGTCTGTTTTAACCAACCGGGGCATTTCCTGCAGGTTCTGGCTCTGGTTCATTCACAGAGCTCAGGCCTTCTGACGTTCAGAAGCACATCAACTCCAGCTCAGCAGAGCACATCTCGCTCGTCCCAGACAAGCTCAGTTGTACTTAATTAGCTGTCAGGTTATGCATCCCGTTGTTGACATTGACCCTGGTGGGGGCAATGCTGTGTGTGAGAGTGGTTTGGCTACGTCTCCTCCAGGAGGAGCACAGGGGAGCTGGCTGGATGGTTGTACCAGAACACTGCACCTGTGCTCAGACAGCTTGATGTCATCAGGTGCTGATGAACTTTCATGGCACTGCAGTTCACAGTTTGATATGAGTTGTTGATTCAGTCTTTACCTATAATTAAATAGATTTGGGGGAAATTTAAAAAGAGCAAACAGCACTGCTTTGGAGCCGTGTGACGCTGATACTCGTATGGACAAACAGAAAAGCTAACGGCTTCATCTTCTACATCATGCAGAGAAATAAGCATTACCTGTCTGCTGGCTTACCAAGTGAGCAGGGTTACTCTACACAGCAAAAGCCAGCTGTAGATGTAAATACTGTATGGTAAACTGCCTACCGATCACGTCTGTGCTTTTTATGCTGATTTATACGTGACATTTCTGAGATGCCGACAGCATAAAGAACAGGTTTTGCTCTGAACACAGTGCATTTTCTTCTTCAGAAGTAACAACAATCAATAGTATTGCGTAGAATGAAAAAACAGATACTGAAATTTTATTGTCACTAATAACAAACAAACAAAAAGACAATAACAACCAAAACCAACCCCAACTCAATAGTGAGTTGGGATTTGAGGGGCTGATTCAATCCAGCATCATAATTAGCTGGTCTTTATAAAAGCTGTTCCTGCCATGTTAGAAAATGTAGTATAGGTAACTTATGTGTGGGTTTGTTATAGAGAAGGTGGAAGTCAACAAACACATTTGTTCCCAAAACTTCATAGCACTGCAAGCGAAATGAGTCAGCAGAACATGATTTGGTCTTTTCATTGCAGCCTGCAGACACCCTGCAGGCTGGACGGGCTGTGAAACCTGAAGGAGCTCTGGGTGTCCCCATATTGCATTGGACTGACGGCCCTCAGAGGTCCCTTCCAACTCAAACCATTCTGTGATTCTATGACTCTAAAATATTCCATCCATCTCCAGGTTGCTCTGTACAGCTCTGCAGGTGTAGCCTAGGACCAACCTGCAGTCCACGCTTGCAGGTGAGCGCGCACCTGGGGAACCAGGCAGTGGCCTGGCAGAGCTGGGGGATCCCAGCAGACAGACATGGGACACGACCTGCTCCCACAGACCGAGCAGGAGAGCGCTGGGTTTCAGGCGCGTGACCTCCTGAAGCAGGCTGCAGCCTGACACTTTGCTTCTATCCTGGGTGAATGCGGCAACCCTTATCTGCAGCCGCAGCACAGCACTGGGCGGTGCTGGCAGCAGGAGTGGTTTGTGCAGCCACCGATGGCACAGCAGGGCTGGGGGAATGCAGCTCTGTGCTCATGGTTGGCAAACACGCACACGAAGAACAGCAGAGGGGTTTGGTGTGAGCTCCTGGCTTGAGGTGTGGCACTGACCCACAGATGGACGCAGCACTGTTCAGTGACAACAGCGTGCAGCTGATGATTTATTTGGGGTACTTTGCCTCCCATGGCCTGTATCACCCACTGGCGTGCTCCAATGGCATCAGCTATCAGGCTGCAATCAGAAAGAGCCACACGTTGCAAACACTTGAATAAAGGCTGAGAACCGTAAGGAACCGGGTGGGATGTAAATGCAAAAGCTTGCCGTGCCAAAATAACCGGCGGGATTTCCTTGAAAGGAACTTCCTCCGGACAGAAAGTGGAAGGAAGCCCCGTACGAACAGAGGCGAGCAGGCAGCGCCCGCCACTCAACGCGCCCGGCCGGGGCGTGCGGGGCTGCAGGGCAGCGCGGCGGGCGCACAGGAGGGCCCACCGGGGGGGGCGCACCGGGGGGGCGCACAGGGGGGCGCACAAGGCTCGCCGTGAGCGGCGTTCAGCCCTCAGGACGCGCACAGTGAGGCACGACGCTCCGGCACCGGGGAGCGACCGCCCACAGCCAGCGCCGCTCCGGGCCTGGGCGGATCTAACGGGGCTCGGGACACCGCAAGCCGCCCAGAGGAGCCGCCCCCCGGCACGAGCAACGCGAGCACGCGGCCCCGCGCAGGGCCGATAGCGGCGGCGGGCTGGCGGGGCGGTAGCCGGGCAGCACCGCCCACAAGGGGCGGGCGGGCAGGAGCCGCCATTCCCGCACTCGGAGCGGAGCGGCGGCGAGGCGGAGCCGTGCTCCGAAGCCGCCAATGACGGACGGCCGCGGGCGGAGGGCCGCTCCGCGGGGCGCTCCCCGCCCCTTCCCCTCCTCTCCGCGCAGGCCCCGCTGCCCGCCCCTCCCCGGGGCGCGGCGCTGCCCGGCGGGGCTCGCCCGGCGCGGCTCCGCGAGGCGCGGCCGCCCCTTCTCCGCCCCGGCGCCGGAGAGCGGCCGGAGGGAGCGGCCCTCCTTCCCTCCGCGAGGGCGGGCGGAGAGCGGCGGCGCCGCGCGGGAGGCGCTCCGGAGCCATGCGGGAGTACAAGGTGGTGGTGCTGGGCTCGGGCGGCGTGGGCAAGTCCGCCCTCACCGTGCAGTTCGTCACCGGCTCGTTCATCGAGAAGTACGACCCCACCATCGAGGACTTCTACCGCAAGGAGATCGAGGTGGACTCCTCGCCGTCCGTGCTGGAGATCCTGGACACGGCGGGCACCGAGCAGTTCGCCTCCATGCGGGACCTCTACATCAAGAACGGGCAGGGCTTCATCCTGGTGTACAGCCTGGTGAACCAGCAGAGCTTCCAGGACATAAAGCCCATGCGGGACCAGATCATCCGCGTCAAGCGGTACGAGCGGGTGCCCATGATCCTGGTGGGCAACAAGGTGGACCTGGAGGGCGAGCGGGAGGTGTCCTTCGGGGAGGGCAAGGCGCTGGCCGAGGAGTGGAGCTGCCCCTTCATGGAGACCTCGGCCAAGCACAAAGCCTCGGTGGACGAGCTGTTCGCCGAGATCGTCCGCCAGATGAACTACGCCGCGCAGCCCGGCGGGGACGAGCCCTGCTGCGCCGCCTGCGCCATCCTCTGAGCGCCCGCGGGGACGGACGCGGCCCCGCACCGCCCGGGCCGGGCACGGGGCGCCGCCTCCCGCCCGCCCCGCCGCGCTGCTCCGCTCCGGGCCGCCGCCGTAACGGGGCCGGCCGGGCGCCCCGACACGCTATGCAAGGTGGAGCGCGGCGCGGGGAGCGGCGCGTCCACCCGGACCGGGACCGGACGGAGCGCGGGGCGGCGCGACCGCCTGTGAAAGGATTCCCTATTTTGTTGACCTGCTGTATCCCGGGGGGTCCGCAGGAGATTGGCAGGGCGTTATTTTTTGATGGTTCTTTTTTTTGCGATCAGCTGTGAAAACGTTACAAGTCTGCACAATGTTTAGGTGTGCGTGCGTGTGTGATTTCGTTATTTTATCCCCCCCCTCCGGTGGGTGAGAGGGGCGTTCCTTCCTCTCCGGGCTCTGTCTGGGTCGGCGCTGCCCGCAGTGCCCCGCTCCGAGCGGCGCGGCCCCCCCGCCCCCCGCACCCCGTGCCCGCAGTGCCTTCCCCGCACCCCGTGCCGGCCGGTGCCAACCTGTGAGCGCCGCAGAATCCCCTTCTCTGCCACTCGGAACCCACACGCAGTTCCCTCTCGGTAATCGTGCCGAACAGGCCAGGACAAAAGGGCCCATTGTTGGTGGGATTTATTTCTTGTTTCCACCCGAGCCTTTTAGCTGTAATTTCCACGTCTTGCAAGTTTGGCCTTCATTTACTTCAAATTTGTGAGAATTCAGCATTTTGGGACTTGGTGGGCTTTTTTTTCCGCCTCCTTCTTTGTGTTTTATGATGATTGTTGTGTGGGGTGAACCTCCAGCCAGCAGCGGAAGAAATCTCAACATTGCGACGTACCAAGAAAATTCTAACACCTGTCCTTTTGATTCCAGACCTGCAGTTAAGAGATGTCTATCCATTTTAAGAATTTTAATACAGATGCTGTTTTTTAGAAAACAACTTTGTGCGCTTCTGTGTACTACGTGGAACAAACGTTAATTGTTAAACGTTAATTACATCGGCTGTTAATCCTGGTTCATAGCATAGTCACAGTAAGAAGGGTGTGAGGGGCTTCGTTTAGCTGAGGATGGTGTTTAAACAAAACGGCCAAATGCCGAAGCCCAAGGTGACTGAATTGCCAGTAGAACAGTAAGACAGAATTTCACTTGTGTTCGGGTCCCGGTCCTGTGTGAAGGCAGCCGGCGCGGAGCGCTGCGCTCAGCGGGCAGCTGTAGGAAGCCCTGTGCTGTAACAGCAGTGTCTCGGAAGGTTAGCACCCTGTTCTTCGCTATGGGCGGCCTGGTTTGGTAGAGCAAGAGTCTGAAAGTCAGTTATTTATGACATCTCAGCTTTTCATCTCTTTGCATTTTAATGCCTGGAAATTGTGGTTTCATGATTTGAAGAGGGAGCGGGGTGGGAGGACGCTGTACCTTCAGTGAGCTGGGGCACCTGGGCTTTGCTGTTCTCCTTTACCTTTCTCTCTTAGCTCCTCTTCAAAGATTAGCACACAGAAAGTGCAGCTTTCTCTCCCTGCCGAGAAAACTTGAAATTGTCTTACTGCATGAAAGCAGAAATTGAGCAGTGCTGCATGAAGGGTTTTCAGTTAGGCTGGCGCGATCTGGCTGCCTCGATGCCCAACACCGATCTGATCATTTCTTCTTTTAAGTAGGAAAGCTTTCTGCTTCAGCGCTGGCTGAATTTGTTAAATTCACCCCAATGATTGACATTGAAATTACAATATTATGTTTTAGTTGAAGATTGAGTATTGATTTTAGCAGCATCCAATACCTACTAAAAAATTGGATGCTGAGTATTAGGGGCTTCTTTTAACAGGAATGATGCATTGGAAAGAAAGCTTGACTGCAGGCTTATCTTGCACTGAAGTTTACGGAAGAAAATTTGCCATAAATTCACATTTCAGCTATTGCGATGGTCAACGTTTGCCTTAAATTCAGTGAGACTGTGTAGTGCTCAGCACCTAACCGGCCTCGTGCCAGATCGATGTATTGAAAGCAAGTCGTTCAGCTTGGTAAAAGCAGTTCTCTGCAGCAGACAGCAGATTTGTCATGTTTCGTAGTGCCTCCTGTTTTCCTGTTGCCCGTGTTGTGATTGAGGAATGATGTACAAATGGATGTTAGCAGCATACGGTGGGACGCAGAGTCCTGTGTTCCTTAGCCTGGCAGAGCAGCTGAAGGCAACTAAGGAAACTCTGGACTGTGCTGGCTTTTTTTGTAGCTCTGCTCTTAATTCTTGCCAAAAAGGGGTGTTCGTCAAACGGCGAAGGATTAGAGAAACCATGGCGTGGGTCTGACGGAGTTCTGAATGTATGGAGGTGTTCAGTGTTCTCTATGCCTCGGTGAGGACAGCACAAAAGTAGAACTCAGTGTTTGATCTTCCAAATCCTCTGAAGTGTTCTGGTGCTTGTTAAACATAGGCCTTGTCTATCAAGTAGAAACAAAATCACACTGCTTTAACTTGACTGAATAATGAAAGCTATATTTGCTTCTACACTAGAAAAAAAATGTTGTATCAATATGAAGGTACTCTTTTATTCCTTTTCCCTGTGGGAATATGTTATACCAGTGTCAATACAAAGGTGGTATATAGTTCTTTTCACAGTGAGAATTGCAAAAATGTAATCGATTTGGAAGAAAAATTACATTCCCAGCCAGAATACTTCCTGACAGTGCAGAAATTGTATAAACAAGGCCTTGGTTTAAGGCTGGTCTTATGACCACATATTTTGCTGTACATAATGATGGTATTTTTAAAAATCCAAGCTTGTTCTATCGCCAGAAAGCATGCCTTTGAAATCCCAGTCTCTGTGATTGTAACCATGCCGTATTCCGGACTTCGTTGCAAATACAAGTGTGGTTCTTCCCAACCCCTGCTCAGGCTCTGTTGATGTGTGCAGTTCTGAGGGCGGTGCTCTGGCTGTGGGACTCCTGGAGGTTCTGCTGCTCTCAAAAGAATGTGTGGCAGGCTTTTGTCAAAGAGCATTTATTTTCATTAAAGGGCAGCTGGCTCTTTGTGACCTCTTCATCTGGATCCTCCTCGCGTGCAGGTGTTGCTAAGTTTCGCGTTTCCTCGAGGAGTGACACAATGCAAGACCTTCCATTTTCTCCAAGAGCTTTGTGTGAAAAGGAGCGGCGTCCTTGAATCCTCTGCCATTCAGCTCCCCTGGGCGGCCATGGGAAGCGTTTGGAGCAGCGTGCCATGAGGAGCTCTGCGACTCACATGAGTAGAGCAGGCAGCCCGGGAGCCTTCGTGGCAGAGCTTTGCTGTACCCTGGAGGACTGCTGCCATCAGCGCCCGTCCGCGGGCTGAAGAGAGACTGCTCTGGAAGCAAGGATGTGTGTGCGCTGTGTCAAAGGTGGGATGGTCTTCAGTAATGGCCTTCACAGCCCAGAGCCTCGTCAGCAGCATTTATAGCTTCGTACAGAACGTCTATGTCAAAAAGGCTCTTCTGTCATATTGCTGTAACATCGTGGTCTGAAATCTCATTTTTTAGGAATTCAGCATCTGCCTGACTCCTAAAATCTTTTATTTGGAAGTGAGGAACTCTGAGAAACATATGCACGTGTATGAGAGTGATGAAATAGCGATGGTTCGAACGGTTAAAGGTGCCTGAGTGAGCTGAGCCCAGACACCTGGGGTGCAGCACTGGGCCGCCTTGGTCTGGCTTTAACTACTCCTCACACTGTGCCAGTCTGTAATGGAGAAGCTCTCTGTGTTTCCCAAGGAAGAGTGGTTGTGTGTGGTGTGTGCTTGTGTGTTTCTGCTGACATGGCTGGAGTCAAAACTCTCATCCTTAGCACCAGCGACCTCAGCCTCTGTGGTCTCCGTGCTGCACACTGTCACTACTGCACGGAGAAAACACGCAGTGAAACCTGAACTGCTGAGAGATGCTGACATTAAAATTTCTCTGTAGCAGTCTTATTTTTGGGGGGTATGAGTACTCTAACCAAAACATTGGGTGCTGATATAATATTGTTGATGCCAAGCGTGGTGATTCAAGTAGATGACGTACTGTGCAAAAACCAAACACTATAGATAAATACTTAATCTGCAAAATCTAACGTGTCTTAGATCCTATCTAAAAGACTGTAAAATTAGAAGTGAATTAACTAGAACTTGTAAGCTGTTCAAGTAAGTCTTAAAAGATTGGAAGCAGCTGTTGTGCAGTAACTTTAATATCTCCACAGCATCTGGGTCTTTGGGAAGTTTGGGCTCAGACAAGGCTAAGTGGTCTGGAGTCCAAAGCTTTGTTTTGACAATCTGGGCAAAGGGGGGTTTTAGAGAGTGTCAGACGTGTAACTTCAGCTTTAGTGATTTAAGAAAACATTTTACTTCTACAAAATTCTTTGGTTTTGAGGGAACATTATAAAAAGTGCCTAATGAATAGATCTAAAGTCCAGGTAATGAATTTCAGATGTTTCTGCTGCAAGAAATCCCTTGGCAAACAGTCTGATCAGTGACACTGATTTTGGTGGTGTATGGGAACTGCTGAATCATGGCCTGAGCCTCTGATTGACCACCTGAGGTGAGCCGTGAGTCAGCCCTGGGAGCACAGGTGAAGGCAATTCTCCTGTGCTGGGCTGTGCCTCCCCTGGAGCCCATTTAAGAGCTGACTGCCACTGGGGAAGGGTCTCTCTTGGAGATTGCTCCTCCTGGAGTCTTCTCAGCGAGCCCAGGACAAGGGTAAGCTTTTCATCCATTCTTCTGTGGTGTGATAATCTGTTTATCCAAACTTTTCTGTTAATTTCTTAATTATAACATCTGTATATTCATTGTTTATACAGGTGGGTTGTTGCCTTTTTGTGTTATGGCACTATGATGCAATGGAATGCTTGAGGTTATTTGTGAGGATGGTCGTTAATCAGCTTTCAGGGAAAAACAACCCACCAAAGAAGTGTTTTCCCTTTGAATTGGGAATTGAGAAAGGTGCAGGCCAGCATTTGTATCGGTATTCCTTTGCCAGTTTCTCTCTGGTATGTCAGTGTTATACTTTGTTTCTACCATGCTACTGTGAAACCAATTAAATATTTGGTGTGAATACCTACAGATTCATGTTATTTTGCTAGAGTTACAGGTAAGACCGTAAGCACTGAGCTGCGGGTGTATGCCTGCATTTGACCTGCTGTTATTAATAGGCAGGATTAGCAGATATGGACACCAGCGTGGGTGTTTGGAAAGAAGTCTCAGTTTTGCCATTAAAAGTTCTGCACTGCAGGTGTTCCTGAGGCTGTCGGTGAGCTGTGTGCCCACTTGTGTTCTGCAGAGTGAGGGCAGGCAGCAGGAGGTGTGTGGCCGGGGGCAGGGGCACGGTGCGTCCCTGCTCACAGCCAGCATTTCGGTTCCTCGCCTTCTTGCTGTCTCCAGGCGGCTTACAGCACCTGTGCCGTGAGGAGGGGTGAGGCCTGGCCTGCTGGCTGTCAGGTGCCCCCTCGCCCTGTGGAGTGCCGTGCCCTGCTTCTGCCTCCCTGCTTCATTGTGAAACTCCTGTATACTTGAGCACGCCTGTTCTGCTTTCCACACCTCCATTTTTGCACTGTGTGTTTTGTCAAAGCATCACTTCTGGTCCGGGTGCGCTGATTTCTCCTGAGGTTTTCAGACTGGAGTTGCAGTACCAAATGAAATAAAGGAAGAAGATGGAGAGAGAGTAAGGATGCTGCAGAAATGTTTCTTGCAAGAGGATGTGACCTTTTTCCTTTAAGACAGAGGCAAACATTGGAAGCCAATTTTTCAATGAATGTCTAGCAGAGATCTTAGTTTAATTAAGCCTTATGCTTAATTCAGAAGAGACACTTAAGAGCACTTTGAGTTGGAGGCAGAGCACTTGGATGATTTCAGAGAATTATCTTTGCCACTTTCACCACCTGGTACACGTGCTCTGTATTCGCTTTTGTGTGTCCAGAGAGCTGGCATGCAAGAGAGGTCTTGCATAGGTATCCTGAAAGTGCTTTTCACATGTGCGTTCTATGGATGGATTCTGGGGGTGAAAGCAGAATCTTTCTGGGTATTTTTTTTTTTGTGTGTATTGTTTTTAAGAAACTTAGGTGACTTCTGTTTAAATTCCTCAGCTGTGTTGTGTTTCTGCCCCTGCACGTCACGGCTGGTGTGCTGGAGAGGCCTATTTCTTCAGAAATCTGGGGGTGATCACAAGTCGCACGTGTGCTTTTTTCAGGCCCGTAGCAAAAGTCAGTTTGAGGGTTATTGTATGTGTGTCCCCATGACGTCCTGTGCGCTGAACAGTCTCCTCCTGTGCGTTCCTGTGAGGCAGGAGTACGTGACCAAGGGCTGGCAGTGTGGGGCCTGTAGAACACGGCCTGGGGAGGACAGGGATCTCGGGTTTGTGGTGTGAGACAGGAGCATGCCTGCAGGGACGGGGTGCTCTGGGAGAGAACTGCTTGAAATTTTCTGTTTCATGGGTAAAATAATAGCCTTCTGTTAGTGTCTGTCATGGGCAGAGTGGCTCCTAACCTTCAGATTTACTTCTCTTTTTCCTCCCTGCTTCCTGGGTGAGTCTGTACTTCTGGGCTGCACGCAGCCGTACCCGCGCAGCTTGGGCTGACCTCTGATTTCATGTCTTGTAACCTATTGGGCACAAAACGCGCATTTGTAAAGGCTGAAATTCTGGATTAAATGTGCACGGTCTTTGGAAGGCCATCTGATGTCCCTGTGTGTTGTTACCGAGCAGCAGCAGTGTCTGTTGCACTACACAAGTTCATGAAAGCATCCATTTTTAAGCGAGTA